CTTATTTCAGTGTTTCCGCTCGTTCCGAATCGTGCTCCCGCTGCAGCGCTGGCCTTATTTCAGTGTTTCCGCTCGTTCCGAATCGTGCTCCCGCTGCAGCACTGGCCTCATTTCCGCGTTTCCGCTCGTTCCGAATCGTCCTCCCGTGCCATGCCACGGCATGCAATGCAATGCTAGGTTGCGTTCCGCTGCCCGATGCCATGATTCAGCTGCAGCTGTCATATCCAGTGCGTAAGTGCCACGCCATGCTATGCCATGCTACGCTTTGATTTTCAACGCCATGCTATGCAATGTTAAGTTCGGGACCGCTGTGCGATGCCATACGTTGCGTTGCAAAGATTTGTGATGCTATTCTTCACTACGCCACGCCACGCCATGCTGTGACATACTACGCTTTGCGTTGCTCTTCTACGCCATGCCACGCCGTGCTCTACAATGCATCGCGTACCCTTTCTGGATCATTGCCCTGCTCAACCTCCGACTGTGCGAGTAGAGAGGGGATCTACGCCATGGTAAGGGATGGGAGGAGGGGTAGGATATCATATTTGACGCGAGCGCACCTCGCTTGCCCCCCCCATCACCCTCCTCCCGCCCCCCCCCCGCCCCCTGCATCCCTAACCCCTCCCTCCGCCCCCCGCTTCCCGCCCCGTTCCCCGTTCCCTTTCCCCCTCCCCCCCCTCCCCCCTCCCCCTTCATCCTTCCCCCTTTCCACCCCTCCCCTCCCCCCTCCCCCCCCTCCCCCTCCCCCCCCCTCCCGGTCAGAAATCGGCCCGACAATGTCAGGTCAGAAGTACGCGTGCCAGGAGTCGACCTGGAGCTGTCCCGAGATGGCTAGAATGGGGTCTGAAACGTTCAGGAGCGGACCCGACAGGGTCCTTCTTGGGCCCATCTCTGATTTTCTGGCCTGCTCGGGCCCACGTCTGACGCTAGGCCACTTCTGACATGGCCCTCGCGTGCCAACATCTGGCGCTTTCAGGACCACTTCTTATTCTGTCAGGCCCACTCCTGGTTCTGTTTGGCCAGCAGGACCAGCAATGGCACGGCAAGGTTATGTCAGGAATGCGCCCAACGGGACCAGAAGGGGCCCAGTATAATCATATGCTGGCCCGACAGAATCAAGTCAGGAGTGGCCCTGACAGGATCAGAAGTGGGTCCGACAGGGTGAGGTCAGAAGTGGGCCCATCAGACTCGGCACGAGAGGGTCAGAAGTGGCCCCTACAGAGGAGGAACACGTCGGCGCAACAGGGTCATGTCAGTGGGTGGCCCAACGCGATCAATGCCTGGCAGTTTCATAAGTGGGCCAAATAGGGTCAAGTCAGAAGTTGTCCCAACAGGTCCAGGAGTGGGCCTGCCAGGCTTAGGTCAAAAGTGTGAAGCTCTTTCCCCTGCGCTCGCTTCTATTTTCTGCTCGTCCCCTCCTCCCACGTCTACTGTTGTAGCCTACATCTAGCGCGTTCGTTTGCCAGCAAGCCGACGAGCCCCCCGGCCTCAAGTGGGCTGACTTTTCGGTTCGTGTGCCGCAGAAACTCTCGACCCCTTTCCTGGAGCCAGTCTTCCATCCTTCATTGTTTTCTGATTGCCCTGGGGCGAGAGCGCCTGGGGGCCGAATTTGAGGGATTGGCCTGACGAAGGACCCAACCATATGCAGTTGTCAGTGCCGCATTGTGGGTACTTGTTTCGGTGGAGCTCCTTATGGGGCCACGAAACGCCGTCCTGGGTGGCGTTGACGCATGCGGCCTACGCCACTGGAGCCTTTGGTGGAGCTCCCTATGGGGCCACGATGCGCTGTCTTGGGTGGCGTTGACGCATGCGGCCTGTGCCACTGGAGCCTTCGGTGGAGTTCCCTATGGACGCATGCGGCCTGTGCCACTGGAGCCTTCGGTTGAGCTCCCTATGGGGCCACGAAGCGCCGTCCTGGGTGGCGTTGACGCATGCGGCCTGTGCCACTGGGGCCTTCGGTGAAGCTCCCTATGGGGCCACGAAACGCTGTACTGGGTGGCGTTGACGCATGCGGCCTGTGTCACTGGAGCCTTCGTTGGAGCTCCCAATGGGGCCACGAGTCGCTGTCCTGGGTGGCGTTGACGCATGCGGCCTGTGCCAGTGGAGCCTTCGGTGGAGCTCCCTATGGGGCCACGCAACGCTGTCCTGGGTGGCGTTGACGCATGCGGCCTGTGCCAGTGGAGCCTTCGGTGGAGCTCCCTATGGGGCCACGAAGCGCTGTCCTTGGTGGTGTTGACCCATGCGGCCTGTGCCAGTGGAGCCTTCGGTGCAGCTCCCTATGGGGCCACGCAACGGTGTCCTGGGTGGCGTTGACGCATGCGGCCTGTGTCACTGGAGCCTTCGGTGGAGCTCCCTATGGGGCCACGAAGCACTGTGCTGGGTGGAGTTGACGCATGCGGCCTGTGTCACTGGAACCTTCGGTGGAGCTCCCTGTGGGGCCACGAAGCGCTGTCCTAGGTGTCGTTGACCCATGCGGCCTGTGCCACTGGAGCCTTCGGTGGGGCTCCCTATTGGGCCACGAAACGCTGTCGTGGGCGGCGCTGACGCATGCGGCCTGTGCCACTGGAGCCTTCGGTGGAGCTCCCTATGGGGCCACGAAACGCTGTACTGGGTGGGTGGAACTTACGGAGGTGACGAGGCTGATGGGAGGAGGGAGGAGGGGGAAGAGGAGAAGTGGAGAGGAGAGGAGAGGAGGAGGACAGGAGACGTGGGGCGCTGTCTGGCTGTCTTTTCGAAACGAGGACCCAGCACCACAGGATGGTTGGGAACAACGTGGAGAAGGAACAATAAATAGTCCTCTGGAGATCGAGGACCGCTTCGCGGAGGCACAGTTGTTCTAGACGTCCCAAGTGTTGTTGGTCCAGTCGTCGTGAAGCTCTCGGTGATTGTGGACAGTCTTGCTCGAGGTGACAGTTGTTGTACTCTTAGTCGTTGTAGTGCTCAGTGTTCCCTGTGGTCGAAGTTCCACTCGTACTAGCCATGGCTCATACCGTGATGCGCCGCACCCTGCGTCTGCATCTCAAGCGGCTGATTTTTGCACCGCGAAGCTTGCGCCCTGCCGGCCCTGTTGGTCCGGTGTCCTCTGCGCGTCGCCTGGCAGGTCAGCGAGCCAGGGAGAGTCGACGTGCGTGAAAGTGGGGGAGTTGGGAACGGTAGGGGTGCACAATTTGATGCATGCAGCTGGCACGTTCCTGCACACACGGCCACCTCCTGCTCCGGGAGGCGCCAGGAAAACCACCTACATCAGATCTCGTATCGCCCTTCTCTCACCCCTCCCTTGCCGTCCAACCCGAGAGGGAGGGTCGAGGAGAGGAGGTTCGAGGTTAGAGGATCGAAGTCTTCCGGCATTTTGGATGTCTTTGGCTTCAAGTGGCCTCTGGATGACTGGAGGCCTCCAGAGGCGTCGGGCCACCACAGAGGCCTCCAGATATCTCCAGGGACTTTATGGGAGGACCCAGCCTTCTGGCGGCTCGAACAAAAATGAAGCTAGATTTCCCCCCCTGAAGTTTGCCCCCCCCTGGGGCCGTTCGCAGGCCCCATGACTGCCAACACAACGCCAGTATGCCAGTGTTGTGGGTCAGAGTCTCCTGGATGCCTCTTGGGATCTCTCGGGGGGCCTTTTGGGGGCTTCTTGGATGCCTCTTGGGGGCTCCTTGGGGGTTTCTCGGGAGCATATAGGGGGCCTCTTGGGGGTCTGGCCTCTTGGAGGCCTTTTCGGTCCTCTTGGGCGTCTCTTGGCGGGCTCGGATGCCAGATTTGCACGCATAGGCTCGTGCGGCCAGTTCGGGCTGCCCCCTTCGATGCCGAAGCTCCTGGGGGTCCCTTGGCGGTCTAGGGTGCCATCCTAGCACAAGAGGGCTCGTGGGCCCAGTTCGGGTTCCCCGGACGAAAACATGGAACATTTTCAAGTTTTGGTTCACATGGTTTTTGGTACCTGGAGAAGTCATGCGGTGACCACTACGAGCGACTGTCGAGAGGACGGGGGGTTCAGCGACTCGCAAAACATCGAATCGCGGAGGTTTGGGTACTAGGGTTGGGGCAGGGAGGAGGGAGGGATGGAAGGTTGGAAGGGGAGGGAGGATGGGGAGGAACGGGATACGCGTGAGTGGGCAGATTTGGGCGCACACTCATTTTTATCATCGGAACTCAGAGTAGGAGGAGGAGGAGGAGGAGGAGGAGGAGGAGGAGGAGGAGGGGCCGAATGACACGCAGGCCGACGACAAAAAGGGCGGCATGTAATTTCCGTGGGGTGTCGAATGGCAATCGCGCCGAACATGGTACGGGCTGCCGGCCATAGCTGAGCGTGGCATTGGCAGCGGCGGAAATCATTGTGGCAAAGCACGGGTTTTGGAATCATTGGAGCGGTTGGAAGCTAAGATTCATGGCGCAGGGGCTTCCTCGTGGGTAGTACTATTTCTCATCAGTCGTTATTTGTTGATTTCCCCTGCTTCTGATCGTAGGCGTAGACTGACTTTTTCCATGCAACTGTAATTGCTGGTGCACTGCAACCGACCAAATCGCTCCATCATCTTATCATGCAGTAGTTTGACACAATTCTTGGTTTGACAGTTGTCATGCTCTTATGGGCAGGCCCGTGGCTGATGCAACCAGGGTGGAACATCTGGTCTTCTTCAGTCCAAAATGTAGAGTTGATAGTCGGCGGGGACATCGGCATCGCCGTACGAGTCAGGAAGAAAACTGCAGGAACGTGCTGTTAGCTGACACGAGGCAACACATCAAGTAAGAGCCATGAGTCAAACCTCATCAGGCAGGGGACCAACACTACTTCGCTTCTGTTCCGATCTGGGCTCAGCGACCCTCGTGGATCGATCCGGCAAGCAGCGCGTACGAAGACGGGGCGGGGAGCTCCAGTCGTGCTTGTTATTGGACGGCAGGTTTTCACGCCGTCGTATCTTGGGGGAGGGGAGAGCATGCCGAGCAGTACGCAAGTGTTGTTGGAGCCGATCGCTGTGGATAATTGACCGTGGTGTGCCCAGAACATGTCGCAGTCGAAGAAGGCGACCTGGCGGTGCGACGCACTCGGATCGCCTATGCAGGACGCGCTCGCGCTGCCACTCGATTACTTCCTTTTCTTGTGCTGATTGATGGACTGGGATTAGCACCGATGATGGACTGAAGCCCGAGATGTTTCATGCGTAGGAGTGCGACACGGGGAGGTGAACCGTGGTCCGGTGGTTGAGAAGGAAAGGGGAGAAACGTCGATGAAGCAAAGGGGGGACGCTAATTCAAACCGAAGCTGGGGTCAGCCTGAACGCCATTTTTTGGAGCTCGGGGAGCCTCGAAGAGGCCCAGTGGGCCTCTCCTGGAGCTTTCTTGGGTTTTTTCGAGACTCTCGGGGGCCCTCTTGATTCTTTCCTGGAGCTCTTTCTTAGGTCTATACTGGCGGCCGCTTGCCAGAAATATTGACTCCCTCATGGGGTGCCCAAGTGCCACGCCTGCTACATCACGGTGGTTATGAGGTTCTGAGTGTTGGCGAATCTATGCACATCGTTTTCGGCACCGCCTGATTCCGGGGCTTCGCCCCCTCCTGGCCTTGACGTGAGGCCCCTCCTTCTGCCTTCCCCCCTCTGTTAATTAAAGCTGTGCGCGACCCGCTTAGCTTCGACCGGAAGAGGTGCGCTCTCGACCCGCGGATCAAAAAAGTTGGCGAATCTATGTCTGATTGGGTTTGAGTATGATGGAGTTTTACTTTTAACGATCTGAGGATGGATGGTCTGTGTTGGTCCGAGCACGACTCAGCTTAGTATGAGCGGATCTGAGTGTGAGTGAGTCTGAGTGCGAGTGAGTCTGACTCTGAGTGAATATGCCTGTGAGTGCTCTGTGTGCATGAGTCTGAGTAGCTCTGGCTAAGCTGAATGTGAGTGGATCTGAGTTTGAGTGAGTACTGGGGAGGCAGGGAGACGAGAGGTGATGAGATGAAGGCGTGGTACTGATATCAAGAACTCGATCTTCGGATATGGGGAACATGATGACGAGGATGACGATGAGGATGAGGATGAGGATGCTGATGATGACGATGATGAAGACGACGATGGCGATGACGATGACGATGATGAAGTCGACGATGACGATGACGATGCTGATGCCGACGATGACGATGACGGTATCGATGACGATTACAACGACGATGATGATGATGATGATGATGGTGATGATGCTGATGATGATGCTGCTGATGATGATGGTGATGATGAATCTAGTGATGATGATGATGATGATGATGACGATGATGATGATGTTGATTATGCTGATGCTGACGCTGATGCTGAAGATGATGCTAATGCTGCTGCTGCTGTTTTTGTTGATGCTGGTGATGATGATGATGATGATGATGATGATGATGATGATGATGATGATGATGATGATGATGATGCTGATGATGATGATGATGACGCCGACCAGGAGTAGCAACAGGGAATACGAGGATGATGGAAACGACGGGTAAGCAGGAGGAGTAGGAGGATGAGGATGAGGATGAGGATGAGGAGGAGGAGGAGGAGGAGGAGGAGGAGGAGGAGGAGGAGGAGGAGGAGGAAGAGGGTTAGAAGGAAGAGGAGGAGGTGGGTGACCTGTGAGTGCTGCGAAAGCTGCGAAGGACCTACCTCTCCCATCTACTGCCTTCGAGAGCCTCCTCGCCGTGTCGCCGTTTACCCGATACGAGAGTTCTTTCACCTCTCCACCCCTGGGCTTCTGGCCAGGGTGGAGGGGGCTTGCGAGGACGCAAGGGCTTTACCCAGAGCCGTTCGCGGCTCCGAGCTCCGATAATGATCATGATAATGATGGTGACGGGGGTGATGGTGGTGGTGGTGATGATGATGATGACGATGACTTGCAGGAGGATGCGCAGGCGAAGATGGACGAGCAGAGTAAGGAGCAGTGGGAACAGCCAACGTCTCTCATGCGCGCCTGGTTCTCTCCCTTCGTCCCTTCCCCTGCCCCTCCCGCTTCCTCTATCTCTCTCTCGCTCTCGTTTGTTTGTTGTTGATTTTCCTCTCTCTGTCTCTCTCTCTCTCTCACTGTGCGTACGTACGGCTCTCTCTCTCTCTCTCTTTCTTTCTTACTCTTTCTCTTTCTCCCTCTGTTTCCCGCTTCTCCCCTGATGCCGCATTTTCGCGTGCCATATCCGAGGCTGAGCCTCTTGTTATCACCCTTCATGAGTTTTGATCGGTGGCAACGGAATTCATTGTTTTCTTGGTCTCTTTTTCTCTTTCTCTCTCTCTCTCTCTATGTATATATATGTATATTAGTATCTGTCTTCCGCTCTGTATCTCTTTCCCCATCTCTCTACTCCTCCTTCCCCGCTCTCTCCCTCTCCCTCCTCCTCCTGCTCCTGTTCCTGCTCCTGCTTCTCTCTCTTCGTCGCCGTCGTCCTCCTCCTCTCCGATGCCTCCCCCACAGCAGGAAGCTGGCGTGGCCCTGCCTGGCGGCATAGTGCCTGTGCCAGTGGCAGTTCCAGTGCCGGTCCATCCCCCCCCTCCGACACCGCTTGGCGACGGCGGCGGCGGCGACGGCGGCGGCGAGAGGTAGGGTGAGGTGGAGACAGGAGGGAGCGGGAAGCAGCAGCGGGAGAAGTAGGAGACAGGAGTAAGCAGGAGAAGGCAATGGAGGATTCAGGAGGCAGGGGGGATGATGATGGTGATAATGACGATGATGATGACCGAGGCGATGATGAGGAGGATGGTGATGATCATGAGGCGGACGAAGTGATGAGGGTGATGTGGTTGATAATCTATGTACGCTGCGTGATGAAGCACGGACGATGACGAATGTGCTGTAAAGTGAGGTTGAGGATCACTTATGATGATAATGTGGAGGCGGTAGAGATGTAAGCAAAATGATGAGCTGGGCAGGCGCCAGGAGGCAACTTACAGAAGGAGGAGGGAGGAGGCAGATGATGAAGATGATCAGGAGCAGGAGGAGGGGAAGGAGGATGATGATGATGCAGAGGAGGAGCAGGAAGAGGAAGATGCCGAGGAGGATGATAAGGAGGAGGGTGGGGACTCGAAGCAGGAGGGAGGACGAGCCAGGGGCAGAAGGAGGTGGAGGACAATATATTCAGAGTAGGAGGAGGAGTTCAAACATGATGATGATGATGATGATGATGATGATGATGATGATGATGATGATGATGACGATGCTGCTGATGATGAAGATGACGAATACGATGACAATGACAATGGCAATGACAATGAAGATGACGATGATGATGATGACGATGATGATGCTGATGATGAGGATTATCATGATGGTGATACATTTGATAATGACGATGGCGATGACGATGCTGATGATGATGATGATGATGATGATGATGATGAGGATGATGATGTTGAAGCGATGATGGTAATGGCGATGACGATGACGATGACGATGGCAATACCAATGACAACGACGTTGCTGCTGCTGATGATCTTGATGATGATAAAGATGATGTCGATGATGATGATGATGAGGATGATGAACATGATCACGAGGATGACGATTATGGTGATGATGATGATGATGTTCATGATGAACACGATATCAATGCCAATGACAATGACAGTGCTGTTGATGATGCTGATGATGATGGAAGCGGTGATGATGATGATTATGATGATGATGATGATGATTATGATGATTATGATGATGTTGATGATGATGATGATGATGATGATGATGATGATGATGATGATGATGATGATGATGATGATGATGATGATGATGATGATGATGTATTTGGTGTGGTTGTTGTTGCTGTTGCTGCTGCTATCGTTGTTTTTTTGCGTGGTTACTGTAGTTGTTCTTTTTGTTTTTGCTGTTGCTGCAGTTGTTGTTGTGGTTGTTGTTGTTGTTGCTGCTGCTGTTTTTGCCGCTGTTGTTGCTGTTGTTGTTGTTGTTGCTGTTGTTATTGTTCTTGGTATTGTGGTGCTTGTCTTTGTTATGGCTGTTGTTGTTTTTGTTGTTTTTGTTTTTATATTGTTGATGTTGATGGTGATGGTGATTATAGGATGATGGCGAGGACGAGGAGAAGGCGAGGACATAAAAGAAGGTGGTATCTGTGAAGGATACGGCCACGTCTGCAAGAGGGGCGGGGAGTGGGGTGGGAGAGTGTCGTCAAGAGGAGGGGACGAGTGGAGCAATTTGAAAGGTGGCAGTTCTTGACGCTTCGAGTATCTTCGCCAGCCCATCCAGCAACGATGCCCAGGCTAGTTGCATTAATCATGGAAGCGTGGGTACATGCAATAGAGCAAAGATGGGGAGGGTCAAACCGAAGATCGGGATCAGCTTGAGCAGGCATGGGAGTAATTCATAAATACCTTCGCGGCTCTGAGTTAGACACATTGCCTTTACGGGCCCTATCGGGGCGCTCTTCGGGTGCTCTGCGGCGCTCTTTGGGCCGTCTTGGGGCCCTCTGGGCCCCCCCTTTGGGGCGGTGGCGACGACACGGCTGAAGTCGACGTCGGCGCTGGTGCTCCGCTCTGCCCTCGCCAGCGCGACGCCGGCGCGAGCGGCCCCGGCTCTGCAGGTCCCCACCCTGCCGGTCGTCGTGCGGAACGGGCCGGGCGGCCCGCCGGGCACCTTCCACGTGGGCGAGTGCTCCCCGTCGGTGGACAGGCGCGCACAGTGCGCGGAGTGCGGGCCGGCCTCCGGCCGGCTGGGCGGCCTCCCAGTGCGAGGCGCGAGGCGCGCGGCCTCAGACCTGGGCGCCGCAGGCTGGCTCCCTTGGGCCGCTGGTCCCCGTGGGGGCGGCGCCCGCGTGCGCTTCCCCACGCATTTTCCCCGACCACCCGACTCGTCGGAGGCAGGAGGCAGGATGCAGGAGGCAGGAGGCAGGAGGAGGAGGAGGAGGCAGGAGGAGGAGGAGGAGGCAGGAGGAGGAGGAGGCAGGAGGAGGCAGGATGAGAATGAGGAGGAGGAGGGAGGAGGAGGAGGAGGAAGGAGGAGGGAGAGGAGGAGGAGGAGGAGAGGATGAGGAGGAGGAGGAGGAGGAGGAGGAGGAGGAGGAGGAGGAGGAGGAGGAGGAGGAGGAGGACGAGGAGGAGGAGGAGGAGGAGGAGGAGGAGGAGAAGGAGTAGGCATCCGAAGTCGAGCCTTGAGACCATTCGTCGTGTTGTCGCGCGCCGTGCCCGCGCTTACTTCTTCGGGTGCCAGCCCGCCGAATGTCGCTCAGCTGGCCCGTGGAGAGCGGGGACCAGCGTCCTGGCATCTCATCTTTTTCCGACCCCCGTTCCAGGAGGGGCCAAGAGGAGGAGTGGAAGGGAGGAGGGCGAAGAGTGCTGGGCTTGTTGAACGGTTCTTTTTGGGTGGTGGCCGAGGAGGGGGCTGGGAAAGTTTGGGGGAGTGAGGGCGGGTTTCTGGGAAGTTGTGAGGGGCGTTGGGGACTCCCTCTCCTCCTCCTCCTCGTCGTCCTCCTCCTCCTCCTCCTTCTCCTCCTCCCTCTTCCCTCCCTCTTCCTTCCTCCATGTTCCCTCCTTCCTCCCTCCCTCTCCCTCCCTCCTCCCTCCTCCCTCCTCCCTCCTCCCCCCCCGAAGGCGGCGACGGCGACGACGACGATGGCCACGGTGCTGGCGACGGCCACGGCGGCGGCGGCGGCGACGGCGACGGTGGCACGCGGTCAGCCGCGCTCCCCGTGGCGAGGCCGTGCGGGCAGTTCTGGCCCTCCCCGCTGAGCCCGGTGTGCGCCTCGGGCCCTCGGCGGCCCTACGTGGCCCTCGGCGGCCCTCGGTGGCCATCGGCGGCCATCGGAGGCCTGGGCGGCGGCGCGCATCGTCGCCGCTTTCCCCTCCCCCCTCCTGCCTCTCCTCCGCGTCGTCGTCGTCGTCGTCGTCGTCGTCGTCGTCGTCGTCGTCGTCGTCGTCGTCCTCCGCCTCTTTCTTCTCCTCCTCTTCCTCCTCTTCCTCCTCCTCCTCTCCCTTCTCCTCCTCCTCCTCTTCCTCCTCCTCCTCCTTTTGCTCCTCCTCCTCCTCCTCCCCCCCCCACTGTTTGAGGTGCGGGCTCGTTCCTGCTGTTGGGCCGGACATGAAAGATTTCAGATCTGAGGATGCCCTGCCCAGGTCTCGGCGTGTGGCCCGGTGGGCTGGCTCGAATGATACGTACCGCTTCGCGGGGGACACGGCTCGACAGGCGTTCCGTCTGGTCCTCTTTTTTCCTCCTCGCCTTGCCGTCCCTGGTCAGTCGTGGAAGCCGTTCGTTCCAGTGCCGTGTTGGGGACCGTCCTGGCGGCATCTTGAGCCGTCTCGGGCCCCTCTGGGATTTTTCGGGGCGTCTCCTGGAGCTGCCTTGGGGCTCTCTGGTTGCATTATTCAGTCGTCTTGGAACCTCCCCAGTTGCCCTGTCGGGGCGTCTTGGGGCCTCTGGGCCTTCTGGGACCCCTCCAGGCTCTTCGTGGGTTGTCTGAAGCCTCTCGTAAAAGCTCTCTTGGGCCGTCTGGTCTTGTCGCGATCTCAAATTGCTTCTGGGCCCAGCTGAGACGATCTGACGATCGACACAGCGAGTCTGCCAAACTCGCTCCGAAACCATGAGAACATGATTTCTGCGTCCCTGGGAGGTTAGGGGGATTCTAGTGAGGCCCCCATTGGGCCGTCTTGGTGGCCTCTGTGGCCGTCTTGGCGCTATCTTCGGTTGGCTGCGGCTCGTCTTCGGCCAAATGGGGGGTTCTATTCGGGCGTCCTCGGGGTCCTCCTGGACCCTTCGGAGCTTCTGGGGGCGGTCTGGAGCCTTCTGGTGGCCCAGAAAGTTCCCTGGAGGGTTTGGGGAGCAGTGACACTTTGTTTACAGTGCATTTCTGCTTCTTACCTGTTTTGTATATGTATCACACATGTTGTCCGGGAGGCTCCGCCCGAACACTTGTTCACGTGGCCTGCTCGTGCCTCGCAACCCTGCCGTGGATTCATAGGCTTACGCGGCATCCGCCGACCGCTTGGTATATTTCTCTGGAGTGGTCGTGGACGAGTGGTGTTTTAGACGGCAGGTTCATGATGAGGCGGTGCTCGCTATCCGCTTGCTGGAGGCATGCTCGTCAGCGCTCGTGCCCGCAAGTCATGCGGAAACTTGAACTACATGTTGGCGAGTGGTTCCCAGGAGACGTCCTTGCATGCCTGCTAGGTCTCTTGGTTGGGCGTCTGGAGCGACGTTTGGGATTGGTCTTCCCCGTCGACAGTCACGGGGTCTTGGTGGGCCGTCTCCGACTGTCCGTGGTTTCGAAACGCCACAACACGTGAAGCAAACGATAGCATTCAGCAATTGTGTTGCGTGTGCCCGTGGAGGCGTTGGTGTGGGCTTGCTCGAGATGCCTTAGGGGCTGTTTGGGGGCACGTTGAGTCTGTCTGAAGCTATCTGGAGCTGTCGTGGAGCTCTGGCGCGGTCTGGCCCCGTGTGGTGTGTCTGGGGGCCTCTGTGGGGCGTGCACTTCCGCTGGGGCTCGTTGCCGGGCTCCTCGTTCGGCTGGCCCTAAGACCCTAGGGCCCCGAGGCCCTGGGGCCCTAACGCCTAGGACCCCAAGGCCATGAGGCACTGGTGCCCTGGTGCCGTGAGACCCAGAGGTACTGGGGCCCTAAGACTTTAAAGACCCTCAGGCTCTAAGGCCCTCAGACCTAAGACCTTAAAACCCTGAAGCCCTGGGGCCCTAAGGTCCGAAGTCCACGGGGCCCCAGGGCATGTGGGCCCTGGGGCCCCATGACCTCGAGACCCTAAAGCCCCAAAACCTTCAGACCCTGAGGCCCTGTGGCCCTTAGACTCTAATACCTTGAGACCCCAGGGCCCCGAGGCCCTAAAAACTTGAAGTCCCTAGGCCCGAAGTCCCTGAGACCCTGAGGCCCTGAGACTCAAGTCCCCATGGTCCTGAGGCCATGAGGCCCCAAAGACCCGGAGGCTCTGAGGCCCTTGGACCTTAATGCCTTGGGGCCCTCAGACACCAAGACCCTGAGACCCGAAGGCCCTGAGGCCCTGGGGCCCCGCGGCCCCGATGCTGTAAGACCTCGTGACCCTGCGACGCCGAGGCCCCGGGGCCCTGCGACCGTAAGACCCGAAGACACGAAGACGCGAAGACCCGAATCTGAGACCCTAAGACCCCGTGGCCCTAAGACCCTGAGGCCCTGAGACCCTGATACCCGAATGCCTTGAACCCCTGAGGCCCCGAGGCCTTGAGACCTTAAGACCCTAAACCGTAAACCCGAAGACGCGAATGCCCGAAGGCACGAATACCCTGGGGCCCGAAGACCCGATGGCCTAAAGACCCTAAGACCCGAAGGCCCGAATAACCTCCGACCCCGAGACCCGAAGGTCCTGAGGCCCTAAATCCCGAGGGCCCGAATGCCCAAAGGCTCCAAGGCCCTGAGACCCAAGGCCCAAAGGCCCTCAGGCCGTAAGACCCCATGACGCTAAGACCCTAAGACCCCGAGAGCCTAGGACCTCCAGGCCGTGAGACCCTGCGACCCCGAGGCCCGAAGACCCGAAGACCCGAACACCCTAGGGCCCTGAGAACCCAATGCTCTAAGGCCCGAACTAAGACCCTGAGACTCGAAGGCCGTGAGACCAGAAGGGCCATGAGACCCTGGGGCCCCGCGGCCTGGAGACCCCAATGCCCCGAGACACTGAGGCCCTTGGAGACCAAACCCGTAAGACGCTAAGACCCTGAGGCCCTGATGCTTTGAGGCCCTCAGAGCCAAGTCCTTGAGGCCCGCGGGCCCTGGGGCCCCGGGGCCCTGGGGCCTCGCGGCCCTGAGGCCCTAAGACCCTAAGGCCCCAGGGATCTCGGGCTCTCGGGCACTCGGGCCTCCGGGTCGCGAGGCCCTCGGGCCCTCGGGCGCTGGGGCCCCAGGCCCGAAGGCCCCGAGGCCCTGGGCCTCCGAGGCCCTGAGACCCCAGGGCCTTCAGGCCCTGGGACCCTGAGACCCGAAGACCCCGCGACCCTAAGGCTCTAAGACCCTGAGACCCTGAGACCCTGAGACAGTAAGACCTTTGGACCCTAGGACCTCGAGGCCCTGAGACCCTAAGACCCTAGGACCTCGGGCCCGACACCCCGGAGGCCCTGCGACCTTAAAAAGCGTAAGATCCTAGGACCCTCAGACCCTGGAGACTGCAAGGCCCCAAGGCCTTAGAGCCCTAGGGCCCTAGGACTCTAGGGCCCTAAACCCTGAGCGACGTGGGCGGCCTGCCCCCCGCGTTGAAGAGCCGCCGCGTGGCGAAAGGCCCGGCGGACGGCCCCCCTGCGTTGGGGCGCTACCGTGTTGCGGGATACGCGTGTTGCGGAAGGCCTGGCGAAGAGCTTCCCACGTGGGGGGGCCACCGCGTTGCGGGGGGCCCAGCGAAGGGGGCCACCGTGGTGCGGAAGGCCTGACGTAATGCCCCCCTACGTTGTGGCGCTGCCATGTCGTGGAAGGCCCGGCGAAAAGCCTCCCGCGTCGGGGGCCCGCCATGTTGCGGAAGGCCCAGCGAAGAACCTCCTGCGTTGGAGAACCGCCATGTTGCGGAAGGCCTGCGAAACGCCTCCTGCGTTGGGGGGCCGCCATGTTGCGGAAGGCCTGGTGGACATCCCCCTCCTGGGGCTAGCCGCCATTTTGCGGTAGGCGCTGCGAAGAGATTCCTACTTTGGAGAGCCTCCATTTTGTGTGAAGTCCGGCGAGCATCCGCCTGTCTTAGAAAGGCAGCATGTTGCGGAAGGCCTGGCAAACAACTTACCAAGTTGGAGAGCTGCCATGTTGCGGAAGGCCCGGCGAATGTGTCCTACGTTGGAGAGGCGCCATGTTGCGGAAGGCCCGGCGAACAGCTTCCTATGTTGGAGACCGACAAAGTAACGGAAGGCCCGGCGAGCAACCCCCCTTCGTTGAGGAGCCGACATGTTTGTAAATGCCTTTTTGGTTTTCTAAGGTCCAAGTTTCGGAAGTAGACCCTTAATCTTTTTTAGAGAGGGTAACTCATTTGTGGAGCTCGCAGTTGTCAACTCCACTGCTCGCGCCCGCGCGTGCTCGCGCGTGCAGTGGCCAGGTACTTTGGCGCTGCCGACGCGGCCGCGGTGGCGCTGTCCTCTGGGCACTTCCCAGCGGGCACTTCAGTTGAAGTCGGCGACGTGGACGGTCGACGCCGGTAGACGCGATGATGATGGCAGCGATGCTGGTGACGATGATGACAACGACGGCGGCAAGGCCAGTGATGGTGCCGATGCTGATCACGCCGACGACGATGACGGCGCCCTCGCGTCGGTGGTTCAAGTTGTGGAGGGAGTTCGACGCGCGCGCGGCCGATGCGCGAGAGTGGCCCGCGTTGTATAATTTGACACGGATCGTGCCCCTCCCAGGACGCGCGCAAGGGCGTTCGAATGATGCCGACATGCAGCGCGAGGGGCCCGTTTGGCATACTTTAATGAAACTTTGGACAAACCTTCAGTTTGATCGAGAACTCGCAAGATCGCGAACGCATGCATTTTTGAACACTGATGTTACAAAACCGTTTTTATGTGTTATCGGTGCAATTGTTTTTGACTCCCTTGCGAATGCAGAGGTTCTCGACAGATTTTGGCATGCGCGCGACGACGCACGCGTGTGCAGTTCGTCCCGTTTGATGCGAGGGATTCTTGCGACAGCACGCGCGCAGGGACGCTCGAACGATTTCGACGCGCGCGCGAAGGGCCCATTCGGTCTCAAATGATGATAACGTTTAGAAGCCGATAGTTCCCGA